GAGTCGATCACAACAGAGTCGATCACAATATTGTTTGATAAGAGTCAATAAATTGATCACGTTAGGGGCTATAACTTCCTTACTTCCTTGATTATGTAGTTTTTCTCAGATCGCTTACAATCTTTTCGGTTCAACGGTGCTCTTTGCTCCTGGTAGATATTGCATGCTGGATTTCCTCACGGGACCCAACATTGGACCAAGTAATTTTTCAGTGATTATCAATATCGATTTTGTTACTATTCCTGTGATACAACATTATACATGCGTTTACGATCTGAATTTAAGCCAGGCCTTAACTGATCATGATGAAACTCTCAGCATGCCAGAATAAACTCAGCCATCTACAACAATGGACTGTTGCGAGCAAGATGAAACATAACACACACAAAAAAACAGTTATGTGAATATTTTGTTTAGCAAAATGTACCTGGTATACCTTTATTTGACATTTCTAATTCCGAGAATAATCAAGCAGAGTGAATGAAGCTTTCAGGTATTGATGTACAGAGTAACATATATTGCAATGTTATGCACGTGTACGATAGAGCTTTAAAAAAAAAAACTAGAGCGCGCACTCGCTATACTACGCGCACACGCCGATGTGCTAGATCGAAAACTAGATCGGCAGTGCGTACAGACGCGCGTTGTGCCCATAGACATATAATAAAACCTAGACACGAGATTAACTGCTTTTACGTTGTAAATTCTGTGAGCAAAACGGGCTGCGTCACGCGGCTTGGCGCGATGCGCGAATTATCGTGTGGCCATAGATATAGAGTCTTTTTATTCTATATCTATGCGTGTGGCTTCGATTTACGCCCATACTTTAAACGTGTCCCATTATATGTCTATGGTTCTGCCATGGGCGGCGCCCATAGATATAGAATAAAAAGACTAGATCGGCAGCCCGTGCATACGCGTCACAGAGTGTGCACAAATTTTCCCGTTCCGTCATGGACGCTCTACGCGCAATAGTGCGTGGTGCAAAACGTGTGTTACGTACACTTACATTCCCGTTGGTTTGTGCACAAACTTGCATTTTACGGCCGTAAAAGTAACTTTTTTACCAGTAATTATTATGCATCCAACAAAATTCAATATGCATTTTCAAGCAGGGTTGTCACCTCGAAGTTTGCTCAATTTCCCCTCGTATTTATTTTTCGTTTTAAAATGGTGGTGCGCGTTGCCGAAAAAAAATATCCAAATAAATGTCAGCTTATATAAAATGTTATTAATGTGTATAAAACACTGTTTTAAACAATGAAAAGGAAAACGTAAAATGTAAAAACTACTATAAATTACTGTTGAAATATTTTAGAAATTTTGGAGATGTTTAGTCAATGGATGATTTTAGAGATTTGTGTTACAATTATTATCCTTCTTGGGATGAGAACAATTTACTTGGATCGCATTTTATTTTTAGGACTTTTAATGACAATAAAATTGCCCCAGAAAACCGTTTTAAGGACAAAATTAAATTCTGAATGCTTGGCAGATTCGAACCTTTTTGGGAAGATGGCTTCTGAGGTACGGATAATGAATGTGTTGTTGAGCATACATGTATTTCGAAAAAGCATCGGTGATACGATATTTGACCTCAATTAGACGCTAAGAGCGGTGGCGTGACCAGGCTGGGAGGAAGGGGCGCTGGTAGATGGCAACATCATGGAGATCTTAAGACCGAAATCGGGAAAACTGATAGAAGCGAAATCGGGACGGTTATAGTTATATTTTGCAACGAGAAATTTACAAAACCACTGCTACTTATAGGGAAACGAATTGGGTAATCCTTACGAACGATTTAAAAAAACCTAATTAACTCCTCAAGTTCATTTACATTGTGCTCTTCCCATTTTGTTCAACATTATGAGATTCTTGCGCCTTCTTGAAGATTTTCAGATGCTGCAGACGCCACTAGAGGAGAGCAAAATCACACAAATTTATTTGAGCTATTTTTTTAGTGAAGCGCTGGGGGAGGGGCGTGCATCCCCCTCCCAGTATCCAACAGTACAAAACTGTATCTGATAACGGCGTATGTCATATCCTGAGGAGGGACAATGGAGAACAAAATGTTCATTTCGAAGTTTGGTCCATTTTATTTCTCGTTTTTATTTCTCGATTTTAAATGCTGGTGCGCGTTGCTAAGAAAAACCTTGCATCCTGTTGTTTAAGTGCTATTTTCAACATCCAGAACATAATTTTCTCCATTGTCCCTCCTCATAGTTAGTCTCTCCTCTAGTGATCCAGCATCTGAAAATCTTCCAGAAGGCGCAAGAATCCCATAATGTTGAAAAATGGGTAGAGCACATGTAAATAAACTTTAGGCTTTATTTTTTAAATCGTTCGTACGGTTTACCCATCTCGTTTCCCTATGAGCAGCGGTGGTTTTCTTTGCCGTTGCAAAATGTAACTTTCAATGTCCCACTTTCTCTTCTATCGGCTTTCCCGATCTCGCTTTTAAGATCTTCATGATGTTGCCATCTACCAATGCCCCCCCCCCCTCCCAGCCTGGTCACGCCACCACTCTTAGCGTCAAATTGAGGCCAAATATCCAAGACGCTTTTTCGAAATAAACACACCCATCATCCGTACCCCTCAAGCCGTCCTCCCAAAAGGTTCGAATCAGCCAATGCATTCAGAAGGCTGGAACATTATGGGAGTGTGATTTAATTTCATTCTTAAAACGGTTTTCAGGGGCAATATTGTCATTAAAAGTCCTACATATAAACTACAATCCAAGTAAATTGTTCTCATCCCGCAAAAGATAATAATATCTTGTAACACAAATCTCCAAAATCATCCATTTAAACAATTCAATTTTAATTTTAAATAATTCAACTCTAATTTAAAGCAGTTTATACATTCTACGTTTTCTTTTTCATTGTTTAAAACAATGTTTTTATACACAATTTTATCAGATAAGCTGACATAATATTTTGAGATTTTTAGCAACGCGCACCACCATATTGAAACGAAAAATTAATACGAGGGAAAAACGGAGCAAACTTCGAGGTGACTATCCAGCTTGAAATTGCATATTGAATTTTGTGAGAGACATAATAACCACTGGTCAAAAAAAGTTACTTTTACGGACATAAAAATGCAAGTTTGTGCACAAACCTACGGGAATGTAGGTGCGCGTAACGCACGTTTTGCCCCGTTTTTTGCACACTACTGCGCGTAGAGCGTCCATGCGGGAACGGGGAAATTTCATAGATATAGAATAAAAAGACTAGATCGGCAGTGCGTACAGACGCACGTTCTGCCATGGGCGGCGCCATTTTTTTAGCGCGTGGGCCAAAAGTTGCGTTACGCGCACCTTTTTTTTCCGGTAGGTTTGTATGGAAAGATATATTTTTATGTCCGTAAAAGTAATATTTTTGACCTGTAGTAGTTGTAGAAGATACCGACGACGGCGGCTTATGCTACAAAGATTTTGTCACAAACTCACACGGCGGGTGATGACTTCGTTTAATCTATAATAATAAATATGTAAAACAATACGAACATTACGATAAGTTCCAATTTAGCTACAATATTTACATCATATTTTGGTCATAAATATCCATGCACAGTTTGTAAATAAACAAATCAATAAATAGTATTTCAATTAACTTACGACTTTGTTGACATTTGTAGCACACTTCTATTTGATCGATGCTTATTTCACAAACATGTAAAAAAAACAATGAAGAAACTGATATGAAATCGAACAATTATTTTGTAACTGCTGCGCACACGCGCAAAGGCGTGCGTGCGCCAGGCGCTCGCGCTTCAACGTCCGCTGACAAATAATTTTAACATAAACATCCCGGCCCCTTAAACGTTGCTCTACAGGCCAACATTTACACATTCAATTAACCACTAGTCAATTAATAACAATTAATATTATAATAACCAAATTTATGCAGTTTAACATTTTAAAATACCCCAACAAAAGGCTAAAGTGATTCAAATTCTTTCCGAATGTTCAGTCAACCAGAAATCCAAAAAACAAAACAAAACTTAAGTTATAATTGGTAGAGTAAAACTCAGTTGTTGATATCTTCTATCCAGTTCGCCTTCTAGAAGGCAAAGTTTGGTTATTGGCCTCTTGAGGATGCCACCACGTGTCAGAACTTCCACTGTGCGTACCAGTCCATCTACGCCAGGGAAAGTCCTCGTTACTCGTGCCAATGGTCACTGGCCTCGAGTAGTGTTGTCGTCTCTGACCAACACAATATCGCCTGACTTGATGTTTCTTTGTGGCTCAATCCATCTTTGCCGCCGCTGCAGGGTTGGTAAGTATTCGGAAATCCATCGATTCCAAAACCTCTCTGCCAAATACTAAACATGTCTCCATCGTTTCCGGTATTTGTCTCCGTCCGTCAAACCACTCAATGGCATTGGATGCCCAGGTCTGAATTTGAGCAGATGACTCGGCGTGAGGGCCTCCAAATCATTCGGGTCGTCAGAGACAGCGGTGATTGGCCGATCATTGACTATGGCTTCGGCCTCAGAAAACATGGTACTCAGGCGCTTGTCGTCTAGAACTTGGTCTTTCAGAAGTGCTCCTAGCACCTTCCGTACGGTCCGTATTGGCAGTTCCCAGACACCACCCATGTGCGAAGCTGCAGGTGGATTGAGCTTCCATTCAATGTGCTTCACAACTGACTATCCTTCTCGAGTTGAGAGATGGCCTGTCTTATTTCTTTCTCGCCTCCGGCAAAGTTGGTTCCGTTGTCAGAGAGCACTATCTCTGGTGTACCTCGTCTAGCTGCGAACCTCATGAAGGCATTCAGAAATGAATCTGTCTCCAGTGAATGGAGACTCTCAAGGTGTGTGGCCCTTGTGGAGAGGCACGTGAAGAGAAATCCATAGCGTTTCTCTTTACTCCTACCACGTTTCACATAGAAAGGCCCAAAACAATCAAAACCCACATAACTGAATGGAGGTTTTCCTGGAGTAACTCTGCATTCGGGAAGATCTGCCATCCGTTGTTTCTGTGGTGTTCCCTGCAGTCACTTGCAGACAACACATGCCTTCAAGATATTCTTGATCAGTGACCGGGCCTTCGGAATCCAATACTGCTGTCTCACCACAGAGAGTACATGTTCCTTGCCTGAATGACCCAACAGGGTATCATGTGCATGACGAACAATCAGGGTTGACACATGATGATGCTTAGGTAGAATCGAAGGGAACTTTCGACTCTCCTCTACGGGCGCTTGTCTGAGCCTACCACCTAGTCTCAGAACACCGTTGTCATCGATAATTGGCTCAAGACTGTAGATGGAAATTTGCCTTTGGACTGAACGTCTCCCCTTCTCTAAGTCTCGGATCTCCTGCTCGTAGTTGATTCTTTGCACGTATCTTATTACAGCAAGTTCTGCATCATCCATCTCTGCTGCGGTCAGTCGATTTCCACTCCATATGGATCGAGATCTGCGTTCAATCAACCACTTCTTGCAACGCAGGACCCACGCCACAGCCTTCTTTAGATGGTTCCAACTGAAATACTTGCTGATAAGTCTTGCCACAGGATCAGCTGTCACTGCGCCTCCCGTAGCTCGTGACACTGCTACTTTCTTCACTTCCCGATCCGTCTCGAGAAGATTTGGAGTTTGAGGAGTTGCTGGCCAACTCTTCTCATCCTGCCAGAGGAATTCTGGTCCCTTTCTCCACCTGTCTTTGGAGATCATGTTGTGCGCGTCCAGACCTCTCGATGCGTCATCAGCAGGATTTCGATCCGTATTTACATATCGCCACTGGTCAACAGATGAACCATCATGTATGACAGCCACCCTGTTGGCTGCAAACGTGTGTAAGCGCTTTGATGTGTTCTTGATGTACTGCAGCACAAGCATGCTGTCAGTCCAGAACGTGGACCCGCAGACGTTCAGTTTCAGCTCCCTTCGTAGCATCTGCTCCATCTTTACAGCTACTACTGCTGCAGAAAGCTCCAGTCTGGGTATCGTCATCGTCTTCAAAGGTGCCGGGCGTGATTTTCCTATCAGAAAACTACAGTGGATTTCTCCCGCAGAATTGACAAAACGAGCATAAGATACACTCCCACACGCATCTTGAGAGGCATCTGAAAAGTGATGCAAACGGCATTCACTTATCTCTCCGAAGTTGCTTGGCACGAGGCATCTTTCAACAGCAAACTCTTTTAAAAGAGAAAGCTAATCTAACCACTTCGCCCAGTGATCCTGAGTTTCGGCCTCTAAAGGATCATCCCAGCTCTTCCCAACGATTTGGAACTCGTCCTGAAAGAGGAGTTTCGCCCGAAGGATGTACGGGAAAACAAACCCCAATGGGTCATACACTGAGCAGATGACGCTCAGTAAGCCTCTTCTTGTCTGACTACCATGTTTTGACTTGATCTTCATTCTGAGTAAGTCGTGCTCAGTATCCCAATGGACTCCCAACGCTCTCTCAACAGGTAGCTCTTCTTGACTAAGATCAAGGTTCTTGACACCCTTTGCTCTCTCTTCCGGCGGCACGGATTCATTTACTCTTCTGCTATTGCTAATCCACTTTGTCAGGCGGAAACCTCCCTTCGCCAGTATGTCAGTCAACTGCTTCACCGTCTCAACTGCTTCACCCTCGGAATCTAGGGACTTCAGGCAGTCGTCCACGTAGAAGTTCTCCTTCACTGTAGCCAGAACATCGGCATTGAAGTCGTCCACATTATCTTCTGCCGTCCGTCTGAGGGCAAAGTTGGCAAAACTGGGGCTCCACACGCCTCCAAACAGGTGTACTGCCATGCGGTACACGTCGGGGGATTTAACGGTATCACCGCTTCCCGAGTGTCCTTGCTGGTAAACTTCACAAGCTTGTCGATGCTAGGGTAACGACCGGTCTCATCGAGGTGCTGCACTGCCATGGAACGCCACTTCGACTGGAGGTACTGTGGGAGTCTCTTCACAATTAAAGCTAGACTCCTCTTGGTATCGATCTCGTCCAACTTGTCCATAGCCTTTAGTGCAAGTGTACAGCTTCTCAATTCATCCGCCATTTTCTGAACGGCTCTGCAGTCTCCTGGCATGATCCGTTGACCTTCTGTAAGTCTTCTTACCCAGGTCTCGGAAATTCTATAACCATTTCCGAAACGCTCTCGAAGCAGTTCTTTGGCCTTGGCGTAACCTTCATCCGGCTGCATCATGGCGCAACAACGGATGACTGCCAAAGCTTCTCCTTCGCAGAACTGGAAGAGTCGATTGAGCTTAGCGTTAGCGCCAATACTAGTGTTTCCGACGGCACCATCAGTCATTAAACTGTAGAAGATACCGATGGCTGCGGCTTGTGCTACAAAGATTTTGTCACAAACACACACGGCGGGTGATGACTTCGTTTAATCTATAATAATAAATATGTAAAACAGTAGGAACATTACGATAAGTTCCAATTAAGCTACAATATTTACATCATATTTTGGTCATAAATATCCATGCACAGTTTGTAAATGAACAAATCAATAAATAGTATTTCAATTAACTTACGACTTTGTTGACATTTGTAGCACACTTCTATTTGATCGATGGTTTTTTCACAAACATGTAAAAAAACAATGAAGAAACTGATATGAAATCGAACAATTATTTTGTAACTGATGCGCACACGCGCAAAGGCGTGCGTGCGCCAGGCGCGCGCGCTTCAAGGCCCGCTAATATAAACAGTAGTTATTTCCCCAACAAAATTCAATATGGGTTATCAAGCTGCACGTTCATTTCGAAGTTTGATCCATTTTATTTCTCGTATTTATTTTCCGTTTTAAAATGCTGGTGCGTGTTGTTTGTGTTTTATTTTTTTCATCAACAAAAATAATATTCCTGCAGTTGTTGCGCTGTCCTTTAATTTAAATTCACGGCAGCTTTTAAGGGACAACAGCCAGAATATTTTTTCTCCATTGTCCCTCCTCAGGCTATAACATATGCCGTATATCAGATGCAGTTTTGTACTGTTGGATACAGGAAGGGCCGGGTTTGCACGCCCCGCCCCAGCCCTTCACTAACATTCATTACGGGAGTGTAATTTTATTTCATTCTTAAAACGGTTTTCAGGGGCAATATTATTGCCATTAAAAGTCACACATATAAAATGCAATCCAAGTAAATTGTTCTCATCCCAAAAAGAATAATAATTGTAACACAGATCTCTAAAATCTTCCATTGCAAAATTTCACAATTTTCTTAACTAATTCAACGGTTATTTTAAAGCAGTTTTTACATTCTAATTTTTCCTTTTCATTGTTTGAAACAATTTTTAGCAACGGGCACCACCAATTTTGAAACGAACAATAATTACACGGGGAAATGGAGCAAACTTCGAGGTGATCTACCCAGCTTGAAAATGCATATTGAATTTGTTTGGATATATGATAACTACTGGTAAGAAAATGTTACTTTGACGGACATAGTTTGTGCACAAACCTACGGGAATGTAGGTGCGCGTAACGCACGTTTTGCCCCACGCACTACTACGCGTAGAGCGTCCGTGCGGGAACGGGAACATTTCATAGATATAGAACTTAAAAAACTAGATCAGACGCGCGTATGATACGCGCGTTTTGACAGGACGCTGCCATTAGTCACGTGAATAGGGTCAAAAATTTAAACGCGCATTTCTTCGGCGTGACGATCACTTGTACTTTCATGTACTTCTCCATCACTTATTGGACTTGAAAATGGTGGCAAACTGTGCAGCAGCGAAGTGCAACAGGGACGGAGAAAGGGTCCCGGAGGACAGTCTCTCAAGAAGTTAACATCATGTGTGAGTAACTTAATACATAGAAATTTATCTCTTGAGACTGTATTTCGAACAAGACAGCTGTTATAACAATTAACTCAATAATATAGGCTACGTTTATACGCATTGCGAATGGACATAAATCACAGGAATGGGTGTGGAGAAAAATCCCCCATGTGTGATCCAAAGGATCCTCCGAATTTTGTAATAACCACGCAGGGCCTACTTAAAACCCTGGCAGTATAATATTGTTTTAAAATTTAAGATGGTACTCCTAATCCTGAACATCGACTAACAATTGTTCTGGCCTAACGTCGCCCCTCTCCTCTCCTGGTTTTCAATAGTCCGCGGGGGAACGAGGATTTGGAGTCACTTTTTGTTGTGGGATGTGTGTGATTAAAGAAAATGTACCATTCCCCTAGTTTGAACACACTCAATGACGTTTGCACTGAGAACAATTTCAAGGCGTATTTGATGATCCGTCATTTTTTTATTTTAATAAATGATCCGTAGTGTAAAGTGTATCTAGGCAACTCCCATCTCCTTTTCATTTTTTTTTTTGGAGGACACGGATTGTACATCTTGAAGGATAAAGTCCTACAAAAATGTGTGCATTTTGCTAAAACTACAAAAAAATTCAATCGAGGCTTATTAATTTTACTTCCCAGGTTCCCCAACGGCGATCTAAAGAGATTAAAAGTTTGACTGCAGCGGATTAGGAGAAATATTCCAAATGGCAGCAAATGGAATCCAACAAAGCACTATCGTCTTTGCAGCGACCATTTCCCTGCAGAGTGCTTCAAGGTGGAAGGGGGGGGACACGTCTGCGTGACGATGCCGTACCGTCAATGATCTTTGAAGACTACCTGACTCATTTGAAGCCTGTAAGTGTTACAATGAGCCTTGGGGTCAGGATACACTATCGATAATTATTGTCATGTATTTAAAGGCCAATTATGTGCTTTATTTGTTTTATTTCGTAGAAAGACTTCAGTCGCGTGTATGGACTTCAGCACGAGAGAGAAAAGCTGCCAACGGCATGGAAAGAACAGACCCAAGCCCCGTCGAAGTGTTGCTTCAGTGCAGGCTGTATCGGCAAAACAAACATCAGCGATATAGCATGCATACAGTCTACCACCAGAAATGGATCTACACTCGGCAGTAGCAGGAAGGCTATATATCCAAGCTTGAACAGGAAAACAGACAACTCCGGCAGGAAAATCGACGATCATGTCCAAAAAGACGGGTGGTAAAAGGCATGAAAGAGAAGCAACTTGTTACTCCAGAGACGGCCGACCAGATGGAAACACAGTTTCATATTCTGCAATTGGAATTCACTTTGCTGGAGCTGGGAAAACTGCGCCTTGCTCAACGAATCACAGTCATGGTGAACAAATGAAGAAGTTTGCACTGCTCGACGAAAGCGTACGTCTTCGTCAGAAAGAAGATTGCACTGCTGACTGTGCGTGCAGTGAGGTGATAGCTGACCACGCGTAACTGTGCCTCATGCGTGGACCATAGCTAAAATCTAACAAGTCAGTATTTCGTTATCGTCTTACTGTTGCTCCTCAGAAATTGAAAGATTAAATAAATGTCTTTTTGCGTTCATGCATATGAGGAAGATATATTGAAATTACTCATTCTGGTTCATAAATTTATGAGAAGCACTCATCTGCTGGTAGTTGCATAGGCTAGACCACAATATGCGGATGGTGACAACCTAATGTATTTTTTTTCATGAGCAATGACATTCTTGACATCTTGATTAATGGCTATGGATATGGAACTGCCATGTCATCAGTGTATTTATTAGCTAACGAGTAAGTTTACATTGTTTATTATCTGAAATTTATATCAGTGTGTTCAGTACTCACAACAGACAGCCAGAGACTTGTTTTTGTAGCCATCCATTCATTTCAAATGTAATGTTCCTATTGAGGTTCGCAGATAATGTAACATAATATTTCGAGTGCGTGTTTTTATCGTTGCTCATTTACAAAATGATTTTCTGTTATTTCATTTTGATGTTGGTAAAATTAGAAGTTTATGTTTTGTCTGATGGCAAGTAACGGTTGACATTTATTGCACATTTTGAAAAAGAGGGGAAAATCTCATTAAACAGATTGACATTTGACTACGCTTTTGACATTTGCCTTCGCACAGTCACCAATTTGGCCCAAAATAAGACAGAGGCAAACCCATGTGTAACTTTTCAAAGGAATGTGAACTG